GATATACTCGTAATGCAATCAATGATGTGGTGGCGCCTTCATCTACAAGCATGTTTAATGGCAGGTTAGGCCAAAACAGGGCCGAGGAACATGTTTCCTCATCGCCGTGGAATGGATATGGCAGCACTGGCTGAAGTTCAGCTGCAGAAAACGGCTATCAAATGCAAAATGGTTTTCACGCATTTCAGTCCATCGTATGTTGACGGTCCAAAGAATCATTTTGTCGACTCGGATACACGTTTGTTGGCACTGGTATCACTGTCAATGTTACCAAATGCCGTGAATAGAATAGTACGGCATTTTAGGTATAAGATTTGGCCCTGCAGGGCCCAATCTTATAAAATAGAATAGAATAGAATAGTACGGCATTTTATTCTATTTACGGCATTTGGTAACATTAACAGTGATACCAGTGCTGACAAACGGTTATCCGAGTCAACGAAATGATTCTGTGAACCGTCAACATACGATGGACTGAAATGCGTGAAAACAATTTTGCATTTGATAGCCGTTTTCTGCAGCTGAAATTCAGCCAGTGCTGCCATATCCATTCCACGGCGTTTATAAGATTGAGCCCTCGGAGGAGTGGTATCAGTTATGAGCCGTATGCCGTTTCTCAGCACGGCGGCGCCCGGCCCAATTTTGCTCGAGCGGTAGTCTGGCTACAGATGCGTGTATCGAGGGTTCGCATCCCGAAAGTGCTGCGTAGTTTCAATGGAATTCAGTTTTTAGTGCTTGTGCAATATGCATGGAGCATGTGTACTTGAAAATAGCAGAGAATAGCCTTTCATAATTTCAAGGAGAGTTCATTACGAAAGTTTTCTTATGAATTTTAGCTTAACCCGGCAGGCGGTGGGCCTCCCACTTCCCAGCCACCTTCCGCGCGGTGGGGGGGGGGGGCATTTTTTGGCCCCCGCCGTATCTCCGAAACTACTAGACGGATCCGGAAAATTCAAATGGCGTTCGATAGCCCTGTCAAATTTGTTGAGGGAACCTAAATTTCATTGACCTCGGGGTCACCGATGACGTCACAGGTCAGGTCAAAGATAAAATGTTTCACCGTTCACGGGGCTTCTAGGGAAAGCGCTATAACACCGAGTAAAACGCATTTTGTCGAAAATCAGCGATAAGGCGTCAGTTGTCTAGTACATATGTTGCTATTAGAGGTCACTAGTCATACCAGGTCAGGTCACCAAAGGTCACCAAAGGTCACCACATGAGCCCAACTTTACTAAGGTTAACCGATGCATGTTTTATGGCCAGTTTTTCATTTCCAACTCAATGGTGTTGGTTATAAGACCATCAGGTACGGTTTAGGTCACTTTCTGGTGGAGGTCAGGTCAAGGTCAGGTCAAAAAAGGTCAAATTTCAAAGTTGATATTTTTGCATAAAATAGGTATCGATTCGATGCAGCTCGTCACGGGGAGTCTAATGGTGGTCTTTGTTTTGCGCTACGAGGTCTAGAATTGCTAAAAAATTGAGTTTGAAAATTTGACGTCATCAATTTTGAACAGTTTTTTTCGCCATAACTTGGCCAAAAAAATAGGTATCGATCTCAAATTTGGTATGCAGATAGAAGGCGGTAGGGACTATCATATATTCCTTTTTTCGAAATTCAAAAAACTTTTTGGATTTTTCGGCTATTATATTCCAAAGATCTATTTTTTTATTTTCGGGGTCAAAATAAAAAAATCGAAAAACCGAAATAGCAGTTTTGTAGCGCTTTTGATTCCACACCTTTTATGCCATAAACATTTTTCTGTATCTCTAAAGCTGTAGGCCTGACAGCTCTTCCCGCGAAACCTTTTTTTTGGGTCGAAAATGGCAAAAATGACGTCACAAAAATGACGTCATTAGCGGCCAACCTATCATAGCCTTTGGAAAAAATTTTGGTCACCATGTGCGCTAGCTGCTCCCGGGAGGGTACTGAAAGTTTTGTGACGATCAGCGCAGCGGTTCTCGAGATATATGGAAAAAACTAAAGGGGGGGGGGGGGCAAAAAAATGCCCCCCCACCGCCTGGAAGGTTAAAAACGTTGACTACGTTTCCATGGCATAAGTTCAGCCGGTGTTGAAAAAATGAATTTGCTCCATCTCATCAATTAGACATAATTAAAAAAAATGTAAATGTTGAACTAGGTACAGGCTTAAACCATATATATGCTCACTTTTTGCATATTGTGAATAATATCCGAGAAAAACGCACGTGAAATTTCGCTATATCGATTTAGACGTCATAGAAACGTAGTGATTATGTTGTTGTCATTAGCCAAGATTCTTACAGATAAGATTGGGACATCAGTCGCGTTGAAACACTTTGAAAGAGGCATTTGTAGTAAATTTGTTTACAAAAATAATTAAATGATATTTGAAATTGACAAATGCATTTTTACTCACAATCTCAAACAAAAGTTTAATTTATTCGCGTTTCATTAATTTAGCCAGCTGGCAACCATCACCCATCGTCCTGGATGCAGTCGAACTTGGCGCACTCGGATAGTGTTCGAAATTTGTGACGCTTACTTGTTGCTATGGCGACAGGGCAGTATCTACGCTTTTCATTCGTCAACAAGTGCTTGCAGACCTGCCGCTCATACTTTTGAACACATTCTTTATGCGTCAGTTTCACGGATGGAAAATAAAAAGCTATACCAAAATAAATCAAAAGGAAAGCGACTCACTGCTAAATTAAATTCTATCGATTGTCACAAATGCGCTTATGTTTTACTGCGAGGATGATTGCTATTTTCTCAAGACTCAAATTATAACAAAGTGAATGAATGTGCCGTACGCGACTGTTCAGAAGGAGAAAACACATAGCTGACGCCACATGCCCGTTAATGACGCTGATTGCTCACGGTGCCCGCTTGACCGCCTGCCCTGACCCCACCGCCGCGTCCCACCCCGCCTCAGTCCTCTCCCCAACCGGGCGGGCGCGGCGGCCTGCGGCTGACCTACCCCTCCCCCCCCTACCCAGCGTTTGCGGCGGATCCCTCCCTGCAAGCGGCGCCATAGATTTAAGTGCATAACACTTTTGCGCCAATTGCTTGTTATTCATGAATTTTATGTTCTAGTGTGAATACATGGTCTCTCTCTCTCTCTCTCTCTCTCTCTCTCTCTCTCTCTCTCTCTCTCTCTCTCTCTCTCTCTCTCTCTCCCTCCCCTGCCCTCCCCTCCCCGCCCCACCGAGGCGGGCTCCGTCCTCTCACCGTCCGGCGGCCGACACCCCCCCCCCCCCCCTCCCCGCTGCTCACTGATGGTACCCCATCTCCCCCGACGTGTCCAATTCACTGCGCCGCGGCCGGGTGGCAGTCACCGAGCCGCGTCGTCTCGTGTTTCGCCGCCGCGCGAGACGGCCTGCTCCTAAACTACTAATTGAAATGGGTCCGTTTCCGCCCGGCTCTAATTGTTTTCGGACGGGGGACGGGCGGCCGGGCGACGGACCGATCTGACCCGGATGGCGTGCGTACTGCGTAGGGAAGGCGGGTCAAACGGCCCAGTGGGGGCAAGACGGACGACCAACTGTATTTCGGCGCCCAACGCCGTATATAGTTGGCAGAATGATTAGCCGTGATCGGTAACTTTGAAAAGATGTCAGACAGTCAGAGGGTGTCTCGTGTTTCTCTGTCAGACAGTCAGAGGGTGTCTGACAGTCTTCGGCCTTCGCCAATGTTGATCTTTGAGGATTTTAGCCTCTAAGGCTGTTTGATAATAACCTTTGGGCTCCCTTAGAGCCGAGCCTAAAAAAATTATTTGCTGCACAGCAATGTCTTAATAATCGACAAAACCTTGACACCCCATGACGTCATGTCTCCTGAGCCCTCCCTATGTGGCAGCATAAAATTGAAGCTCCTGTCGGCGCCTGTCGTGCATTATTAATTTTACTTTGCACTTAACTGTAAGGAAGAATGTTATATCCACAAGAGAGACAAGGTTTTGTAATAATCGGCTATTTAACATGCAAATCATGATGAGCGTGCTACCAAACGTCTTAGTCAAAAAATTAAAATAGATAGATCTGAGCTGACGTCACACATTCAGAGGGGGCATTCTAATGCATTAGCCCCTCTGAATCCAAGTGCTACAACTTCGAAATTAAATATTTTTGATTTGAGGCATTTCTCGATCTTGTGAGTGCTCAAACCGGTAAGTGCAAGCCAGGGACCCCATTTTGGCTACCTCGACTCAAAACTAATGTTAAGGTGGGATGGTCACTCTTAACTTCGTTGCCATGAATGTGCTTTTTCATTACATTTCTGAGCAGTCTGTATAGGAGGTGACTGAGGCCTCAATCCCTAATTCTTCATCCCAAAATTGCCGAATTTCAACAAGGCGGGCGGCCCTCCAAAGTTTACCAGTCTGCCACCTATGAGAACTTATCTTCTATCGACCTAAGATTTTTCATTTGCGGGGGAAATGAGCCGCCACATAGTAAAAATGGACCATATGGACCACATCGGTACGTCTTAAACCCAAATCTAAATTTTGAATGCTCGCCGTTGGCGAGCTGCATTAGACCCCAGTCACTGCTGAATATCAACATCCGCTTGCCTTGGTAGCCGTCATCCTCTGCACTATCATACAGGAGGAAACGCTCTGGTGGCTGATCGGGTTTTGGTTTCGTCAGACGGTCTTCGTTGGCGATCCCGAGCACGGCCCGTTTGAAAACCCGGCCCGTATTAATGCTGCCCGGCCCGCTTTAATACTGACCGGAAACCTGGCCCGTATTAATACGGCCACCGGTCAGCATTAATGCGGGCCGCCTGGCGGTCAGCATTAATACGGGCCGGGCAGTATTAATACAGCCCACTTTTTTCCTCACGGCCATATGAAAACTCGGGCCATATCAAAACTAGCCAACTAGTCTCTATTCCATGTCTTAGCAAATGCTGCTTAGGCCTGCAGTGGTCTTAATGTCTTTTATACTTTTTGACTGTTGGCTAGTAAATGTTTACTTATTATTAGTAACTTACTTATTAGTAACTTATTAGTAACTTAACTTAGTAACTTAGTAGTTTACTTATTATTGCACGTTCTGCTCTTGTGGCAACGCGAGGAGCACATTCGTCCGCTGCTGACACATTTGCAGCGCCCACGGCACACACGTTTGCAGGTGCACTTGAGTATCCCTTGACCGGTGCCCCCCCGACGCACGCCGCGCTGCCTCCCTCAATGTCACCGGTTCGCCATCCGGGATGAACTCTGGCGTGAGAAAGTCGACGTCTGATGGAGTGAGTGACGCACGACTGTAAACTCCGGAAAGGCGACCGTACTCTGTACCCAAGGTGTATCCGTCTTCGCGAACCTGAAACATAATAGCGGTCTTACACAGCGCCACATCATTCAGATATGGTGTGAGAGACTAAAAGGGTCGTCAAACGATTAAAAGACAAGTGGTGAGTACCTACGAGCCGAACATGTGGAAACATACTATGCCCAGAGAGAAACCAATGCAATACTATGTTCCCCTCCCTTACCTCCCCTTGCACAAATGGGTTCGATAAATGCAGGTGAAGGTGTCTACTAGCGATATCGACCAGCAATGACTTGAAACAAAATTGACATCCAGATTGAACGGCTAAGTGCCTACCAAAATGGTAATTAACGTCAATACAAACGACCCATTTTATTTGAAAGATTGAATCAAAACAAGCACATCCATGCGCATAAAACGACTTGTGCATATTACCCTGCTTTGTCCAAAACAATAGTGCCTTACCTCAGTTATAATTACCAAAATGTTTGGTGGCTGGTTCCTGGCACGGTCTACGTCGGGTATGCCGAGCCTCACGGTTTGGCCGACAAGGAGGCGAGACTGCCGCGATCTACGCAGCATCTTGGCCGCCTGCTGCTGTTGCGCTGCTGATGCCTCTCTGCGGTGACGTTTCGCTGACTTTGCTTTTTGACAGAGCCTGCAGGAGCTGTCCTCCTGCTGTACCCGCAGCCCACAGGAGACACATTGCAGGCCGCTAGGTCCTGGCTGCGGCTCAGCCGATCCAGACGTTGGATGATGCGTGGGCTGAGATGACGGCGACCTCCTGTTCGGTGACTGCGACGGCGACGGCGATCCCCTTCCCGTTGACGGTGGGAGCGACTCCCTGTCCGGCGGCTGGAACAGCGATCCCCTGTCCGGTGGAGGTGGCGGCGACTCACTGTCCGGTGGCGGTGGCGGAGACGATGACGGCGACCCTGTTCCCGGTGGTGGCTGCCTCGCTGCAGTCGGCGAGGTCGGCGGCCTGCTGACCGACGGGCAGTCCGCACTGACTGGCGGTGAGTCGTCGCGACGAGACGGTCCTGCTGCTGCGAGATCTTCGAGCTCCTGCTGAGTTCTCAGGGTTTTTGCGATGCTCCTGGGAATTTTCAGGGGGCGTCGAAGTCTAGTTCCTACCAACCTGGCACTCCCATGCCTACGTCACCACGAGGACGCCCGAGGGCATTTACATGTTGAAGATAGGGAAAATGCCATAGTTTAGAGCCGCCTGAAGGGCAACCTTGAGATAGATGATAATGTAAATGTGTGCTAATATGATCATCAACATGTTATTTATCCAAATCCAGGGCCAATTAATCGATAACTTGTCACGCTTTCCAGTGGTGATGCGCTAACTTTCGTGGTTCTTGCAGCCAATAAGGGTGTTTCATAGTGCGATTCAGCCGCATTATCGACTTTAATGCCATAAACCGCCACGGAACATATGATTTGCAGCTCCCTGGCGTTATAGCTGCCAGTAGGGCTCCGGAGTCGGAGTCATGAAGTCGGTCGGAGTTGACAGTTCTGACCTGAGTCGTCGAGTCAGTGTCAGAGTCGATTTTAAAAGCTGGAGTCTGAGTCAGTCACCGAAATTCGATCCCCTCCGCAGACCTTTCAGGGTTCCGTAGTCGGAGTTGTAGTCGGTTGGAGTTGACAGTTCTGCCCAGAGTCAGAGTCAGAGTCGAATTTGAAAGCCAGAGTCGGAGTCGGAGTCACCAAAAATCCATTGCCTCCGCAGACCTGCTAGGGCTGTGCAGTCGGAGTCGGTCGGAGCCGACATTTGAAATCAAAGTCAGAGTTGATTTTTGAAAGTCTGAGTCAGAGTCGGAGTCATCAAGAAACCCATCGACGATCCGCAGTACCATGCAGTAAGGGCGCTGCCGATCGATGCCCTGATCGAATTGCCTATGAATTGAATGAATAGATGACAATTAATTAGGTAGGTACCTTCTTTTATTCATCCCCTGCCACTTGGAGGACTTAATTTCAGTAGAAAAAGACGCATTATTTGTTGGTTTATTTATTGACAAATATTTTTTGAGCAGTTAGGGATACAGACACAAAAAACAATGATAGCACCTCGCTGGTGCAAATAATTGCTAGATAGATGTTGAAATGTGTTGCCATTGAAGAATCTACTGATTTTCCTGGCGGCTCTCGTTTTCAAGTAAGTCTACTGGTCTTGTAAGATCTCTTGATTGCTCACCGATCTGGCGTCTTCCAAGGTTTTCTGAAAGCTGATCAAACGTTACCATGGCTGCTCTTGATTACATGGCGCTTGCTGGTTCTGGGTTCTTAATTAGTGGTTCTTGCGTCTGATGCTGTTGCTTCATGTTCCATAATCCATCACATCACATAACATTTTTCTACCTTTTATTTCACTATCAGTCGACTTGCATTTACCCCTGTGGCCTGCTCGCCCTTTTATTTCCACGCTAGAATCTCCCAATTATTGAAAACCTTCGGATAAAAAAGCAAGAAAAGTATGTCAAGTTAAATAATTGAGACGGTCCTAGAAAACCAGAAAAAAAAATCAAAAAGCCTGTCCATCTCACTTCCCTCACTTCATAACAAAAACCAGGCAGCAAAACATGCGAAAGAGTCCTTAGCAACGCCCTAGCAACGCATTTGTCTGAAGTGCGCAATATGTGTCACATCTGGAAAATTTAGTAGCTACTTGATTATTCAACTAGAGTTGGGCTATATAAGCTAGGCTTTTATATAAAAAATAAGTGTTTGCTTATCGAATTTATAGCTACTGGTTGCTTAACTTCGAAATAATGATTTATTACAGAAAAAGCTTGTTTGCGACATATTTGTAAAGAAACAACGGAAATAGCTTTGACTCGTGCGCTATTCTAGTACATTTTTGGTAGAAAACTTCGTCCAACCTTATGTTTTAGGGCCTTGGGAATTTTGGAGTCGCGAAGTCCGAGATGAGGTTTCTGTCCAAAGGTCGCTTCGAAAGGGGTCCTTTTGATTCCCTCGTGGACCTGCAACGGGTGTTGAAATGCATCGTCAGAGAGCTTTTACACGAAGCATCATTGATGACAGAAGATGAGCTTAAAAGACCAACACTAGACATGCTATGGCTTAATAAAAAATGGATTTATATATAAATATGCAACTTCGTGAAACAAAATCGTTAACACCTATTATTATTAGCAGCCTCCTGCCTCCTGGGCCCAATCTTACCAATGCCGTAAATAGGATTTGGCAGCACTGGCTGGAGTTAACGGCTCTCATATCAAAGATATCCCTTTTATTTGCACCCAGCTAATCTTGTCCAATGATTTTGATAGCGTGAATGATTATAAATGTTGCCTGAACGAATGAATAAGTGAAGGGGGAATAGTTCTGAATGTTACCAAATGCCGTGAATGCGCATTCACAGCATTTGGTAAGATTGGGCCCTGGATACACCTATTTGTGGCAGGGGCTGACGTAAACCGACCCATTGCCACCAAAAGGCTTTAATGGCATGCGAAGTGAATGTCTGCAATGCATCAAATGCCATGGATAACGAACGACACACTGTTTAATCTCAGAGTTATGAATTAATGCGGTAAGGGTGTTTTTATCTGAAATTAAGCAATGAGGTTGTTTTACCTGCGTGTTCATCGCCCACTGAACAAATCGGAGGCCCTCAGGCCATTTGCAGCCAGGGTTTTCTGGCAGCCATCACCTCAGCTTCTCCTGCACCACTCTGTTGCTGCGCTCCACTGATCCCTGCAGGAGAAACGTGGAAACGTAATATACGTGCAATGTACGTACAGGTCACCGCGTGCAATGTACAGGTCACCGCTAAAGTAATGTGGGGTTCTACTGTGATCGAACAAAACATAGCGCCATTCCTTGACGGTAATATATATCGTCAAAAGCGAGGATCGCACAGCTTCGTATTTCAGATTGACAACTTTCTCTAATGTGTCACCATTCTACCTGCCACAGCATGCTCGTTATCATCGAAAAACTGAAATATCGAGCCCCTTGGAGCACCCCGGAGTCATGTTTCTGTGACCGCCACTGAACACAGAGTTGTAAACCTACGCGCGTGCGTACTACACAATAGTAAGGAGTCATTGCTTGACCCTCCAGTAGAGAGTAGCCCTGCCATTGATGATCCGGACACTATAAGCATCGGCCGATAGGAGCTGCTCTCTGACAGGCGAGGAGGGGGAGGGTCTGAGGTGGGGAGGGGTTGACCGCGGGGCTACTGGCCGGTGCAGTGGGAGGGGTGGGTGGAGGTAGGGTGACAGGGACACTTTTTTTTACTTTTTTAAATTTATATTTATGGAAGGGTGCAATGTAATTGCAGTCACACTTGTATTTTTTAGCGATTGCAATTTGAATTGGTGATCATTCCGTACACGGTCTGAAGCTATCGGGATAAATAATTGAAATACCTGGGTGAATTGCGCCACCCATGTGCCGATGAGTTTGAATTTTTCCGCTTTGCGATAAAAAAAAAACAACTGTTTTGCAAGTAGGGCGGCTTCCGTTGACCAAACGTTTATTGTCATCTGAAAGGGCGGCGACCACCTCCCCGTCCCTCCTCGACCCCTCCCCTTTATTTACAGGACGGAGTCCCGTCCCTCACCGCCGACTGGTCATGTGATTGGCCTCGCCCGAGGCCCAGCCGACTGACCGAGCGCGGTAGGCGTCATGCCATGCTGTTTTAAAGGGACTATCCCACCTTTAACATGGGGTTTGAGTTGAGATAGCCAAGTTTGCGGCGAGGTTCAGAAACCACTATCTATCTAGGTTGCAACCCCCGCGGCCTCTTGGTGTTGAAGAAATTCGTTCCCTTCATTTGAAAATGGGCCTTGTACAAGGCCCTATCTTCAACATGGAGCGACCGTTAGTGTGACGTCACCTCGTTTAGTCATTCTGATTTAAATGGGTTTGTTCGTTGAAAAATCGCTTAAAACTTGGTCTGAACTTTGTTGTGGTGCCTACAGAGTAAAAAGAATCAGCTTTATGACAGTAATGTGGCCTGGGGAAGGAGGTAATTTTGGGCTGTGACGTCACATATTTGAAAGTTTGTGTTTGGAATATGGGAAGCCTAAGATGTTTAATGAAAAATAAATGCCAGAACCGTGTTCCTGGTCATCCAATCTATAAAGTCGGGCACAATTTAACTGGTTTTAGCAACATTTTAGAAGGTGGGATAGTCCCTTTAATCACTCACCACATCGCGGCTACTGTTCAGAGAGCCGTGACACCAGAAACGTCGTGGCGGAGCGGTTAAGCGTTAGGCTATAGATCGCGGGGTCGCGGGTTCGGTCCGCGCCGGGCTCGTCCGTTTTCCACAGACTGGTTCTGGCCGGCTCAGGCGAGATGGATATATCTTTTGAGGTTATGACCTCACGAGCACTATGAATACAATCGACGTCCGTTGACTCTTGTTCGGTCATAGGGGCATTCCATGTCAACCGGGACAGCCAAAATCGGCCACCTCTGCGATTTTGTTCAAACTTGGTATACTTATTGGCTATTGACTGAAACCTCTGAGGGTGAAAGGATTTTGTCATATGCCCTCGGGCTACAGAGATACAAGTCGCTAAACTTCTGCTTTTTTTAGCAGAATTGGACGTGTATTGCAATCTTGAAAGATCTATAGCTTCAACATTTTTGAAGCTATTAATTTCAAACAAACTGAAACGTGTACCAAAGGAGTTATGCTAGTAAAATTGGACGATTTTTACATTTTTTGGTGATTTTGAATTTATTTAATTTTGAATTAATTTCTTTAAATGTAATTTGTGAAAAATGGGTACCCTTCGATTTTGCTCAAATTAAGATATTGTCTTCCACTACACGTAAGGCACACGTGCTGAGAAAACTAGAGTGGGCCAACGATAACTTTGGATGATATAGCAACAAGTAGTGCAACGTAGCACGGGCGATGGAAGGGGCCGATTTCGCTAGCTCCACCTGTTTATCGCCAATAACTCACGCCATAATTATCATATTAACGTCAAACTTTCAGTATCTGTCCAGAATCGAATTGCTAATCCTCCCGTGCAAGAAATAGGTAAATCAGTCCACAACTTTTCTAATAATAGCGGTGTAAAGTCAAACATTCCTGCCGGAGCGGCTCGGCGGCCGGCGCCGGCCGTTGCCGCCTGAATGGTAGACTGTGCCGGCGCAGGACGGTTCCATCTTCGCACATCGCTTCTTACCGCTGATTATGATCGATTCGTGTCAAATTTTGTGTGAAGGCTTAAAAATGTACAGGCAATCTAATGTTCAAATAAATACGAAAATCAACTGGTAAAATTAAATGATTAGGGTGCAAACACAATATGTGACTATGACGTTTCCCGCGTCGGCCGATCCCCGCCTCTGCCGGCGACATCTTACTCTAAGCAAGCCACTAACTGCCAAATTTATGGTAGATTAACTAGAGGTTCTCATAACCAGACATGTGCTTGGATCCGGAAAAATGGATCTGAGATCCGATCCCATGGATCCCGATCCGAGATCCATTCAGATCATAGATCCAACCCCTCAATTTTGTCGAGAGATCTACTGGGATCATAGATCTGACCCTTCAATTTTGTCGCTAGATCCACTCGGATCATAGATCTGGCTCCCCAATTTTGTCGTGAGATCCATTGGGATCATAGCTCATACATAGGTGCTCAAAATGTTAACAACTTTCTTTCATAAGAAGTTATGAATACCAAAGTATGGTTAGAAACAAACAATCTTATACAAAGACCATATTAGTAAAGGCATCCAGTTACATTATACAGAATACAAAATAAAGGAGGCTCATGACGGTCACAACTTGAGAGAATTGAGTGACATGAAGATTGTTCACAGTTCACATACCAACAGAAAAGTTTGCATTAACAATTAACATAGAGGTAAGTCAAAGTAATGACTAATGAACAATACATAACTAGGTACCTACCACATCACAATTCATGTTAGAATCTACATAATGATATTGATAAGACAATCTCATTGATCTTGCATTAGACAACCATGAGGCTTTCCAGTTTCCAGCTACCACAATTGATTGATAAACAATAAAAGATGATACTGACACACGTGGCTTGGTTAGGTAAAGGTATTTCAATCTATTGAAAGAAATATTTGATAAAATAAACTGAGATATAAACAAAAGTATAAAAATATTCAACAGCCTGCGGGAGCGATGGGAAGCGAAATATCAATTGTAATGGCCTTGGATATTTACCGTAAAATGATTATTCAGTATCTAAATTGAACTCGTGACGTCATTTCAAATAACAAATGAGCTAGGCGTTTTACCTTCGAGTATAATGAAGATAAATAAAAAATCAAACTGGAAATTCAAAAGTCTGGAGCTTTTTTTTTAAAGAATGTTCATTTTTTCTGCCTCACATGATTTTACGATACAATCGTTTGTTAATATCATCTTTGTAGCGTTGAATTTAATGACGTAAACGTAAGCTGAAACGGTATTATATGGCCCTGAGCGGTGTGCGCCTTGCATCTTAATTTTATTCACTTTTCAAAAGAATAACAATATCTTACGTCATTAGTTTAGAGGGCCTATTACGGGGAATCTTTTGGAATCATTACTGTCTTGGTCAAATTAAGATTTTTCATTGGTCAAACGATAATGACGTAATAAAACCATATTACCAAAACGTGAGCTGTGAATTTCGTTTGTCTTTTTTTGGGAGGCTCTCTCATAACAAAAGCACAGCATGGCACCACACGTGGCAGCTGGCAGGATGCCAAAAGTGGCCAAAAGTAGGTAATCTGAAGAAGTTGATGCCATTTTTGAACTTGTAATTTTATTAGGAAAGTATTAGAGGTTGGTTGCTATTCTTACTAAATCGAAATTGTGTTGCACATACTAATAGCTCATATGAACATTCTGGATTGGGATTTCATACCTGGCAGAAGTGGATTGCTGGATTATTTTTAACAAAACTGACCTATTTGGCTTCCAGGTTTGATTTCCTAACATCTGTCCATAGGCGGCAGAACAGGGAGGGGGGTGTGGCACCAGGGTACAGTGCCCCCCATAGAGTTTGGCATTTTAGCATTAGCCCTACTGGCGTTGCAGAAAGAATGGGACCAAAATGAAAATCTGCAGTGCCCTGCTGCCACTGCATCTGTCTGTACTGTTTGTTCTTTGAATTAAAGTGGCTGTAGCTTGTTGATAAGATTGTCATCAGTGCTGTCATGAAAAAGTTACAATTGGTCACAAAAAGTAGCAATATGCATGTTCTTGGTTTATTTTAAATGTAGTACAAATGTTGTTTATTTAAATTCAAATTTAATGATGATACCATGGATGAGATAATAATGGATTGGTGTCTTCGCAGTTTTTGGCGACATTGAGCTCAGGCCTGCCATCTAGCGGGAGAATTATCGTAAGTTAGGAGCAAGCCGAGTGAACGCCGCTGATTAGCATTGTGACACACGGGAGTGTCGTGTAGTAGCGGGCTTGTTGTGCAATTTTTCAAAAGGTTACGTCGTCTATATATGTCAGTAAAAGCTAAGAAATAAATAGATTTATTTGCAGCGTCAGTAATAAGATAAGCAGTTCCATGTTATTTCCTCATTAAATCGTGAAACAGGGAGTTATTGGAGACTTCGCCAGTACGTGTCGTTTTCGCTATTTTTCACATGAGTCTTTACTTGGCATAAATCAAACAA